TTTAGAATTACGAGGATCTTTCGCAAACGATCTTCCAATCGCTTGACGGGTTTTTCGTCCCTCTGAGAGAATACTACTATCATTACATTTAAAATGACCGGCGACTTATATCATTTTGTGAATTTTATGTATATTTTTGATAATTATATTGCGCAAAATTTTGTCGAACATCTGAAGAGGGCTCAAATTGGAAGCCGAAACTAGTCATGTATAAACACTTTTATTTTCTAAATTATTGTACTTTTGTAATGAATATTTTCAATATGATATGATCATTTTAACATTTAAGTATCGACTCTCGAGTGCCTTTTTCCCTTCTATGTTTTTTAAATATTTATAAACATATATAATTGTATATGAAGTTATATACAATTATTATAATTACATATATAATTATATATATCCACGTGTGTTTATTCATTCTTTTTTCTTTTGTAAAATTGTTTTTTAGTGTAATAAAAATAATAATAAGAAAATGTCAAATATAAAATTAAAGGGACAATTTTCGCATTGTTTGTTTTAGAAAAAAATCAAGTTTAGAGAAATGTAAAAAAAATTACTCATACACATACATAATTATGTATAATTTTACATATAAAAAATTATCAGCAATTTTTTTACATATTTCTCCAGATTTCTTTTTTAAAACAAATGAGAAAATAATAGAGATATAATGAGAAAATTATTATTTTAATTTTTTAAATGTCTTCATTATTGTTATTATTTTTATTGTACTAAAATGTAATTTTACAAAACGAAGAAGGATATACGAGCATATGTATGTATGGACGTTTTATATATAAGTATATATATTTACGATTATTTATACATCTTTATGTATGTTTGTAGATACAAATTTTATTCATACATGAAAAATTTTTTATCCGAATTAATATCATATATAAGTTTTGTAACCTTGAAAATCAAGATTCTTTAAAAAGTAACAATGTAATATTTATTCCAAATGCCCATTAGACTTATATTTTTTATCTAGACTATTTACAATCGTATGCATGAACTGCATAGGATCCGTTCCGTTTCTCTATGCGCTGCATGCGCATGGGAAAAATAACCGAGTTAATGCGCGCATAGGATGCGCTGCGTTCCATGCGGTCCATGCGTGAAACGGAACGCACCCAAAGTCATTCGGAAACTCGACTAGGTGACTTTAGGAGGAAAATTTTCCACCCTGAAATTGCAAGATAAATGCGGGTAATGTTTGCGTTTGGCGGGATTGTTTAAGTTGTAACAATGGAGTACATAAATTTAGTGAAGGAAAGACATAAATTATGTACTGACCAAAATAATGAACCAATGTACAATTCTCAATGATATTTATTAGTACTTTGTGGTTTACTTGCACCTTTTAAAGTAACACATATGTAAGGTTAGAAATATTTACAAGTGTATCTTTTTGTAGATAAAAACATAATCCGTACCTATTTCGGAAGAGTCTTTAACATTCTTTCAGTTACAACATATTATTTTGGATCATGACAAACCCGAAAGTGTTAACCTTGAATCCAATAATGCATTTATGAACACTCAGTCACAACACAACACGGTATAAATTTTCATCACATTTTGTTCCTTTGATAATGTGCTTTTAATAATTTTATAATTATTAAATATTTACCATGATTAATGTCCTATATCTATTTATTCTATGTTACAGCATCTTGGAAGAATGAGAATGCTACGAAACGATTAATTTATGCTTGGAAAGAGCATGAAAATAATTTCAAAAGTGGAAAGTTCAAGTCCTCCGAAGTATGGAAAAAAATTGCCATTATTCATCAAAACGAGAACAGTCAATGGATGTACACTGACATACAATGCAAAAACAAATTTAAAGAATTGCGCAAAAAGTATGTCAAGGTAAAAGATCACAACAAGCAATCAGGTAATAGCCCAATGACATGTAAGTTCTTCAATGAATTGGAGGAAGTGTTGGGAGAAAAACCTTGTGTCGCACACCTGGCTTCTAATTTGAAAAAGCAATCAGCATCAATTAGTTCTCAAAACAGTGGCGTAGAAAATGAATCTAATAAAGAATGTGAAAAGAAAAAGGTAAGGAAGACCAGAATTCAGAAGGAACTGGGTGAGTGGTCTGCTTCTTTACGTGAAGATGCTAAGCGTAGGGAGGAAGCAAGGGAACGACGCCATAAAGAGACTGTGTCAGTATCAGATCGAGCAATTACTGCCTACACAAATATGATGGAAAAACTCATAAATAAGTTTTAAGTTTTAATATGTATTAAGTAAACAATATTATATTCTATTTGTTTTGTTACTGTGTTGTAGCTTTTGAATTTTAAAGCACTGCATACAATAGAACAAGTATTAGGAATAAGAATAAATATAAAGATTTCAATCTGTCGAAAATTATGTACTGTAAAGTACACGATTTTTGATGGGTTGAAATTCTTATTTTATTCCTGTTCCTATTATTTCTTTTATTGTGCTCAGGCTCTGAAGCATAAACTATTTTATTATATTACAGTGTTCTAAAAACAGTCTCAGTCATACAAGTACAATTATTAATATACAGTAGAATCTTATTTTAAAATTCCATACATGGCTTATCTTGTATAAGATATTATTTTTACTGAAAAGTATTTTTAATACAAATATTTTCTTTTTATTTTTAAAAAAACTACAAGAGATTTGATATATCAAAAGTTATCAAAGAATAAAAAATTGTTTGTTTATTTCAATCTCTCTTCACAGATATTTGAAAGAGAAACAAAGGACAGTATATAGCCATTCAGAATACTCAATATTTAATTTCTGTTACATTTGTGATGCTAGTCCATAAGTTACAAAATGTTATTTTTTATTGTGTAATAGAATTATAAAAGTCTTTAAAATTTTGTGATATTACTATATAAGTAATAGCTGTGGGGTGATCCCGATTGACCACGGCTCGACTTGACACCACCAATCACAGCGACCGATGCTTAGGAGCTTTGTAGTCTCAAGCGCTGTGAGTGGCTCGTGTCCAATTGAGCCGTGTCCAACTGGGTGCCATCCATAGCTGTAATATCAGTATTTCTTCAAAATATGCAAAATAATGATGGCAATAAAAAATTTACTTTGATAAGATGGTTTTACAATATTTACATACAATAATTATATATTAAAATCATCACACTTTGAAAATAATCGACATTTCTATTGATCAAAATCATGTGAGGCGATTTCAATGTGTTAACTTGAAAAATAATGTAATAATATTAAATTAGTAAAAATTATGCATCTTAATTGCAAAATGTTTTTAATAAATACCTTTCTCATACTTTTTTTGCAAAAATTGACACATAAATATAAAATATATGCTCATATTACTGTTACGTGTTTTTATATTATTACACTGCATTTGAATATAATTGTACATAACTCGACCTATTAATGCTGCTAAATAATTATGTTTCGCTGGACCTACAGCATTATTAAAGATAAATTCTTCCGTAAGTTTATTTTGATTCTGTTGATTCTGTTCACCACCATTTCTTTCATCATGCCGTCTTCCTTCTTCAATAAAATCGTCCACTCTATCATTACATCCTGCAAGACATAAGTTGTGCAGTACATAACAAGCTAATATAACATAGGGAATCAGATCTGCTACACTCATATGCAGATATTTCAATCTTCGGAATCTTCTCTTTAGTAAGGCAAATGCTCTCTTTATTATTTGTCTCATTTTTGACAATTCCCTATTAAAGTTGATTTGAGCTTATGTACGAAAAATACCAATTTAATTAATACAGATATAAAAATGAAAGAAACAATAAAGTTAACTAACTTCTGTCAAATTTCCTTTGTTTATATAAGGTGCAATGCACCAAGCCAGCACTGGATAAGCTTTATCATCAATGATATATTCATTTCCTGGAAAAAAATTTCCACGATTTTCTTGTACAGAGACATCCATAAATCTGAATTTTTAAATATTCTGGAATCATTTACAGAACCTGCGAATCCCACAAAGCAATCTGTAAACACTAAATCTGTATTGCAAACAGCTTGCAAGTAAGAGCATATGGACATTTCCTAGTTCTGTATGATTCAGAGTGAAGCTAAATAAGAATATAAAAATAAGATAAGTTATTAGAACAATGAAAAGATAATAAAAATAGTATAAAATATACGTATAATAGTTTTACATGTGGAGCAAGGATGGGTATGTGCGAACCGTCGATAGCTCCTATGACATCTGGAAGGACACCAATTTCATTGAATCTGTTCTTTACTGCAATTAATTTGTCTCCTTGTGGCTATACAATAATAGAATTTGCTATGTCATTCAAAGCATACACGTATACCCTGACATAGAAGTACAATGTCACGTTGAAGAAATTGAGTCACACAGGGAATATGAAAGTGGAAGACATATTCGCAATGAAATACGCCGACAAATAACTGAATAATAATAAATAATAATAATAATCGCAATTGTAGTAAGGGGCAATTGTTTTCTTCTCTCAGTTTTCCTACGAAAAAGCTTGTATATATCACAAAATACTATATAACTAAATAAAACTTAGATTTTATTTTGTCATTATATCTTTTAAGGCTTATCACTTGTTACCGACCAGATATAGTTTAAGGGCAGTAGTTCCGAGATTGTAACGAGGCGCTACTGGCGGCGAGATGGTAAGATGGCAAATAAAGTTTATAGAGAACAGACGTATACCACGAGAGCTCTTTTAATCTACAAAAGGTGAAATCCAGCATCCATCCAATAAGTCCAGAACATTGGTCCTTCGAGTCGGATGTGCTGGGGATTCGATACGCATCGAAACAAGATTCAGGAAGAGAAGACGAAGTGAGGCGAAAGCACGATCGGTTATAGCGAACGCGAGACAACATCGAGTCGTGTGTTCGCAACGAGAAGATCCATAGAGGCAAGGCAGTGTGGCCTTTGCAAGACGTGAGTTCTTCCTGTTTTGAGTAAGCAGTGTAAGGAGAGCATCGAGCAATAGCGAAAACTGTGAGTAGCGCTATTCAGCAACATAGAGGTACAAGCACGCGGCGTTAGCAAATCAGCCGCCATTACGCACGTTGAGCAGTACACGTATCACGAGACAGAGACACGAGCGTATCGTTAATCGTGAACTCATTACCGGTCAGCACAATAAGACTGCTGACTACAGTGATAGAGGGGAGAGAGAGAGAGAGAGAGAGAGAGAGAGAGAGAGAGAGAGAGGGAGAGAGTGAGAGAGAGTGAGAGAGAGTAACGGTTCGAGTCAACAACGATCGCAGACGGCGCAGTCGACGACACGAACGGAGACATAGACGCAACCGGCGAGAAACGAGATAACGAACAGCCAATCAACGTCGAGCGGCACTGGCAGTGCAAACACATCAACAGTGGGTCTTAACCAAGTAATAAAGTGAGCTATCCATTCACACTCGTTTAATATTCCTTACATTATATCATTCGGCGTTTGAGGCAATCATGGAAGTTTTAGTTAAATCTAGAGGTGTTATAAAGGGTAAAATTACATCTTTCAAAACGTATCTCGCGAAAACATCACTTACATTTTCGGATCCGTCCACACCAATAGATAACGTGACAGCGTCAGACTTACGTGAGCGCCTTTTTCGAGCAAGAAAAGCATATGAAAAATTCGAGCAAATTCAGTCGAGTATTGAGGAGATAACCGAGGATGATCAAGGTGCGGCAGAATATCGCGCAATCTTCGAAGAAGAATATTTCAGTATTATCGCGCAAGCCGAGGCTTTACGCATGCGCAATACAGTACACATGGACGCGTCGCGTTTGAGTGCTGAAATTAGCGGGGTTTCCTCTTCACAAACGCCTGTCGTTCGCACAACGACCGGACAGAACGCGATTAATACTGCAGCGGGTATCGCAACATCGTCAATTATATATAAACCTATGGGTATCAGGTTGCCAACAATCGAGTTGCCGAAGTTTAGTGGTGAAGCATCTGATTGGCTTAGCTTTCGTGACACATTTGAATCCTTGATACACAAAAATGAGACAATTGATACGATACAAAAGTTTCATTATTTAAAGGCAGCGCTGCAAGATGGTGCAGCGCAAATTATTAAGTCCTTTGAATTTACTGCGATCAATTACACCGTAGCATGGGAAACCATATGTTCTAGATTTAATAATAAACAATTGCTTACATACAATCACATTAAGGCCATATTCAATATTAAGGTGTTAAAGGAAGAATCAGCTCCGCAATTGCGCGAGATTGTAGATATAGTCAGCAAGCATTTACGCGCTTTAAACGCATTAAATCAAGCAACAGAACATTGGGATGCTTTATTAATTTATTTAATCTCGACGAAATTAGATAGCATAACGGCTCGAGCCTGGGAAAAGGAGCGAGCTGGAAATGAAATTCCCACATTAGAAGACTTCAAAACATTTCTAAATTCGCGAGCGGACATGTTAGAGACACTGGAATTAAACAATAAGTCGGTTGCTAAATTAGATATTAAGTCGAAACAATCGGATCGGTCCAGGGTCAAATCACTGATCGCACAAAGTCAAAAGTGTAGTATGTGTAAAGAGACGTATAAGTTACTGACCTGTGAAAGGTTTCTTGAGCTCTCACCTCAAGACAGAGCGAATCATTTAAAAACAGCGAGGTTATGCCTTAACTGCATGAGATCGGGACATTTTGTTAGAGACTGTAAGGCAAGATCATGCAGACAATGTTCAGGAAAACATCATACTTTAGTACATTTCGAGAGAGCATCCTCAACGCAGGTAAAGCCCGTTGAAGAGAACAAAACGGCTTCAGTTTTATGTTCGCATAGTCAGTATAACACTTATAGCGTTCTATTGGCTACGGCAACGGTGGTGGTAACTGATAATCATAAAGTAGATCATAAGGTTCGTGCAATTTTGGATCCAGGTTCTCAATCTAGTTTCATTACCACCAGGTTATGTAGAGAGATGAGGTGGCCTACATCAAAAATTCAGTTGACAATCGAAGCTATCAATGGGAAATCATCTCAAATAGAACATAAATGTAATGTCAAAGTAAGGGCGCTACATAATAATTTTCAGTTCGATATGAAGTGTTGGTAATTTCGGAAATTACAGGGCAATTACCAACTCAATACATTGATAGACAAGACTTGCAAATTCCCACTAACATTAGACTTGCGGATCCTTCTTTCCATATTCCAAGCAATATAGATGTTCTTATAGGAGCTGACTACTTTTGGAGCTTACTTTGCATAGGGCAACTGAAAGTAGGAGGAAATCAACTTACCATGCAAAAAACCAAGTTAGGCTGGATAGCAGTGGGTCCGTGGAAGAGCAACATATCGAAATCTATTAAATGTAATCTTAACAGATCGTTCGATATTGATAGCAACCTCACGAAATTCTGGGAAATCGAGGAAACCGAAGCCAAAGAAACGTGGTCAGAAGAGGAGAAAGAATGTGAAAGACATTTCGTAGCAAACACATATCGTAACACAGACGGCAGATTCGTGGTAAGCATGCCACTCAGAGAAGATGTCAGTAAGCTTGGCGAGTCCAAACCAATCGCGCTCAAACGGTTTTTCAATCTCGAGAAAAAATTGATAAGGTGTCCGACTCTTAGGGAACACTACATTGCATTTCTAGCAGAATATGAGAAATTAGAACATATGAGTAAGGTCCTTGAGGAATCAGCGCATGAAATTTCGTATTATTTGCCGCATCATTGTGTTATTAAGAATGATAGCTCAACAACTAAGATACGTGTAGTATTTGATGCATCAGCACCAACCGATAATGGTATATCTCTCAATGATATACAAATGATAAGTCCCGCAGTTCAAGGTGACTTATTCGCATTGTTAGTTAGGTTCAGAGTTCATCCGTACATAATATTAGCGGATGTACAAAAAATGTTCAGACAGGTGTTGATAAATCCAGACCAGCGTTTGTTACAAAGAATCATATGGCGCTCTAGTGATAAAGATCCTATACAAGAGTTCGAGTTAAACACGCTCACATATGGTACGGCATCGGCACCGTTCCTAGCATCGAGATGTTTGAAGGAGCTAGCTAATCAAGTTGAAACTACCTTGCCGCAAGCGGCCAGGATCATACGAAGGGATTTCTACGTCGATGACCTTGTGACAGGAGCAGAGACGATTGAACAAGCTATAGAAATACGACAAACTGTCTCGCAGGTCTTAGAGTCAGCAGGTTTTCAATTGCGAAAATGGGCATCCAATAAACAAGCAATCATTCAAGACGTTCCGAAAGAGGATCAGAATTTAGATAGCGTTAACTTCACTAATGACGGCATGACTAAAACGTTAGGCACATCATGGCAAGCGCTCTCTGATAGTTTAGTTTTCACTAGCAAGGAATTAAACCAATCTAGGATCACGAAAAGGCAGATCTTAGCGGAGATTGCACAAATATTCGACCCGTTAGGTCTTATTGGTCCATTCGTTATCATAGCAAAAATTCTATTGCAGGAATTGTGGTTGCATAAGTTGTCATGGGATGAATCACTTCCACTTGATTTACACTGTAGATGGATCTCCTTTCGTCAACAAATGCGAAATTTAAGTCAAATCAGAATACCTCGAAACGTTGTAGGAGAAAATAGCGTAGAGATACAAGTGCATGGCTTCGCGGACGCGTCACAAAGGGCATATGGCGCATGCCTTTATATTAGAGCTCAAGATTCCAAAGGAAGCGTTCATACAGCATTATTGTGCGCAAAGAGTAGAGTAGCTCCACTCAAACAGCAAACAATTCCACGCTTAGAACTTTGTGCAGCTCTCACCCTCGCGCGCTTGGTCGCCAAGGTCATTGAAGCATTAGATAGGGATGTCAATATAATCATCTGTTGGAGCGACTCATCAATAGTCCTCAATTGGATAAGAATGCAGCCAAGGGAGTTACAAGTATTTGTGGCAAATCGTGTAGCACAAATTCAACAGTTAACAGGTTCGTATCAGTGGCGGCATGTTCCGACGGCAGAGAATCCAGCGGATGGTCTTTCGCGTGGTTTGACAGTAGACTAATACAGTCAGAAATTTGGTGGCATGGTCCGTCATTTCTAGTTAAAAATGAAGTTGAATGGCCTACTGGGGCTATAGCAGAAATTAAAGTGCCAGAAATAAAGGCAACGTGCTGCGCAATTACAGAGCAGACAGCAGAGTCGTCCATATTCGAGAATATCTCAACTGCAAAACGCATAATTAGAGTGATAGCTTATTGTAAGAGGTTTTCACATAATTGCAAGCATAAAATGGAGCGTAAGGTAAACGAGCTTTCAGCGATAGAAATAGGAAATGCATTAAAATCACTAATCAAGATAGCTCAGCAAGAATTCTTTCAAAATCAGCTGCGAGACAACAAGAGGGAATCGATTTTATCGCACAAGAAACTGAGTTCTCTCAATCCGTTCTTAGATAGTGAAGGCATTTTACGCGTAGGAGGGAGGCTAAAAAACTCGGAATTTTCTAATGACAAGAAGCATCCCATGGTTTTGTTAGCGAAACATCGTTTTACTAAGCTACTTCTCATGGAAAAGCATATGCAATTAATGCACGCACCACCACAAGCATTGTTAGCGTCGGTACGCGAACGGTTTTGGATAATCGGTGGTAGAAACCTCGCAAAGAGGGTTGTTCACGAATACATAAAATGTTTTAGAAACAAACCGCAACAAGCACAAGATATAATGAGCGAATTACCTAAATCTCGTGTGACGGTAACCGAACCGTTTCATGTTACGGGGGTCGATTACGGCGGTCCTTTCCTGATAAAGGATAAACGGGAAAGAGGTTGCAAAACGAATAAGTGTTATATCTGCCTATTCATATGCTTTGCCACAAAGGCAATACATTTAGAGTTGGTCTCGGATTTGACCACGGAATACTTCATTTCGGCGCTCAGACGCTTCGTGTTTAGACGAGACAAGCCGGCTCACATATACTCAGACAACGGCACCAATTTCGTGGGTGCCAATCGAGAACTAAAGGATTTAGCTCAATTCTTAATAAAGGAACAAACAGGTCTCAGTGAGTGCATTAATGACATAGGAATCGGTTGGCACTTTATTCCAGCTTACTCTCCGCATTTCGGAGGCCTGTGGGAGGCGGGAATAAGGTCGACTAAATACCACTTGAGTAGGGTTGCAAGTAACGCATCATTAATATTCGAGGAGTTCTATACGTTGATTACACAAGTAGAAGCGATACTAAACTCGCGACCTTTAACTCCCATGTCGACTGATCCTAATGACCTCATTCCACTTACTCCTGCTCACTTTCTGATTGGAAAAACCTTACACTCGGTGGCTGATCCAGATTTAACACATCTACCTGAGTCCAGATTATCTAGATGGCAGCTACTCCAAAATCTGCAGCAACACTTTTGGAAAAGATGGAGCAAGGAGTATGTGTCAGAATTACAGCAGCGCACAAAATGGAAGGAGAACTCCTCACAACTAAAGGAAGGCACGATGGTGCTAATCAAGGAGGAAAACCTGCCCCCATGCAGATGGAGGTTGGGGCGCGTAACATCCATTCATCCAGGTCGAGACCAGGTGGTTCGAGTAGCCACTGTGAGGACGTCCACGGGCACTGTACACACCACCATCGCGAAACTTTGTCCGCTCCCTATTGAAAATGTACATGATTCTGTTTAATTTAAGAGTATCACGCGAATTCACACTTTCATAACGTCTAAGGACGAAACGTACTCACTTAAATACTTACGTTATTTGTTTGTCACATAGCTTTGACCAAAATTAACTCGTTAATCATCGTTACCATTGTATTTCGAATTTATTTTAGTTGGCTGTAACTTACACGTTATTTGATAGCGATGTACAACATCAATGAAAATAAGGGTTACTAACATAGGTCTCTACTAGATGATAAGGCAATCTTAAAAAAAAAACAGTTATATTACTATTATTTACATAGAGTTAAGATAATTTAAGGAATTTAGTTCCTAGTGTTCTCAAATGATACAACCTGTTAGCAAATAGCATATTATGTTATGATTAGAGTTCTATGGTCTACAAGTCAACTAAGTTCATTTAAACTATGCGCGTAGTCATTATTACAGTCCACTCATAAAGAAAGGGCCTCAGTTTAGGTCTAATTGAAAGACCCACTCCGCGGAGTGCCACCTTGTCGTGGTGAGTGGGCTCCTCCCGGGCGATGTCGCCCCCTTCACGGCCCCTTCCCCGGTGCTAAGTGTGGCGCCGT